GGCGATGATTCAAAGGGGACGAGGGTTCAGAAATTATCTCAAAATGGAAGGGGTGATGATTCAAAGGGGCAAGGAATCAGAAATATATCTCAAAATGGAAGGAGCGATGATTCAAAGGCGCGAGGAATCAGAATTATATCTCAAAATGGAAGGGGCGATGATTCAAAGGGGCGAGGAATCAGAAACATATTTCAAAATGGAAGGGGGCGATGATTCAAAGGGGCAAGGGTTCAGAAATATATCTCAAAATGGAAGGGGCAATGATTCAAAGGGGACGAGGGTTCAGAAATATATCTCAAAATGGAAGGGGCGATGATTCAAAGGGGCGAGGAATCAGAAATATATCTCAAAATGGAAGGGGCGATGATTCAAAGGGGCGAGGGTTCAGAATTATATCTCAAATAGAAAGGGGCGATGACTCAAAGGGGCGAGGGTTCGGAAATATATCTCAAAATGGAAGGGGCGATGATTCAAAGGCGCGAGGAATCAGATGTGCATCTGAAAAAGGAAGGTGCGATGATTCAAAGCGGCGAGGATTCAGAAACGCATCTCAACATGGGAGGGGCGATGATTCACAGGGGCGAGGATTCAGATATGCATCTCAAAATGTGAGGGGCAATGAGTCACAGGGGCGAGGATTCAGAAACGCAGCTCAACATGGGAGGGGCGATGATTCACAGGGGCGAGGGTTCAGAAATGGATCTCAAAATGTGAGGGGCGATGATTCAGAAATGCATCTCATCATGGGAGGGGCGATGATTCACAGGGGCGAGGATTCAGAAATGCATCTCAAAATGGAAGGGGCAATGATTCAAAGGGGACGAGGGTTCAGAAATATATCTCAAAATGGAAGGGGCGATTATTCAAAGGGGCAAGGAATCAGAAATTTATCTCAAAATGGAAGGAGCGATGATTCAAAGGCGCGTGGAATCAGAATTATATCTCAAAATGGAAGGGGTGATGATTCAAAGGGGACGAGGGTTCAGAAATATATCTCAAAATGGAAGGGGCGATGATACAAAGGGGCGAGGAATCAGAAATATATCTCAAAATGGAAGGGGCGATGATTCAAAGGGGCGAGGGTTCAGAATTATATCTCAAATAGGAAGGGGCGATGACTCAAAGGGGCGAGGGTTCGGAAATATATCTCAAAATGGAAGGGGCGATGGTTCAAAGGCGCGAGGAATCAGAAATGCATCTGAAAAAGGAAGGTGCGATGATTCAAAGCGGCGAGGATTCAGAAACGCATCTCAACATGGGAGGGGCGAGGATTCAGAAATGCATCTCAAAATGTGAGGGGCGATGATTCACAGGGGCGAGGATTCAGAAACGCATCTTAACATGGGAGGGGCGATGATTCACAGGGGCGAGGATTCAGAAATTGATCTCAAAATGTGAGGAGCGATGATTCAGAAATGCATCTCAACATGGGAGGGGCGATGATTCACAGGGGCGAGGATTCAGAAATGCATCTCAAAATGGAAGGGGCGATGATTCAAAGGGGTCGAGGGTTCAGAAATATATCTCAAAATGGAAAGGGGCGATGATTCAAAGGGGCAAGGAATCAGAAATATATCTCAAAATGGAAGGGGCGATGATTCAAAGGCGCGAGGAATCAAAATTATATCTCAAAATCGAAGGGGCGATGATTCAAAGGGGCGAGGACTCAGAAATATATCTCAAAATGGAAGGGCGATGATTCAAAGGGGCGAGGGTTCAGAAATATATCTCAAAATGGAAGGGGCGATGATTCAAAGGGGACGAGGGTTCAGAAATATATCTCAAAATGGAAGGGCGATGATACAAAGGGGCGAAGAATCAGAAATATATCTCAAAATGGAAGGGACGATGATTCAAAGGGGCGAGGGTTCAGAATTATATCTCAAATAGGAAGGGGCGATGACTCAAAGGGGCGAGGGTTCAGAAATATATCTCAAAATGGAAGGGGCGATGATTCAAAGGCGCGAGGAATCAGAAATGCATCTGAAAAAGGAAGGTGCGATGATTCAAAGCGGCGAGGATTCAGAAACGCATCTCAACATGGGAGGGGCGATGATTCACAGGGGCGAGGATTCAGACATGCATCTCAAAATGTGAGGGGCGATGATTCACAGGAGCGAGGATTCAGAAACGCTTCTCAACATGGGAGGGGCGATGATTCACAGGGGCGAAGATTCAGAAATGCATCTCAAAATGTGAGGGGCGATGATTCAGAAATGCATCTCAACATGGGAGGGGCGATGATTCACAGGGGCGAGGATTCAGAAATGCATCTCAAAATGGAAGGGGCGATGATTCAAAGGGGAAGAGGGTTCAGAAATATATCTCAAAATGGAAGGGACGATTAATCAAAGGGGCAATGAATCAGAAATATATCTCAAAATGGAAGGAGCGATGATTCAAAGGCGCGAGGAATCGGAATTATATCTCAAAATGGAAGGGGCGTTGATTCAAAGGGGCGAGGAATCAGAAATATATCTCAAAATGGAAGGGGCGATGATTCAAAGGGGCGAGGGTTCAGAAATATTTCTCAAAATAGAAGGGGCGATGATTCAAAGGAGACGAGGGTTCAGAAATATATCTCTAAATGGAAGGGGTGATGATTCAAAGGGGCGGGCGAGGAATCAGAAACATATCTTAAAATGGAAGGGGCGATGATTCAAAGAGGCGCGGAATTAGACATATATCTCAAAAAGGAAGGGGCGATGATTCAAAGGCGCGAGGAATCAGAAATGCATCTGAAAAAGGAAGGTGCGATGATTCAAAGCGGCAAGGATTCAGAAACGCATCTCAACATGGGAGGGGCGATGATTCACAGGGGCGAGGATTCAGAAACGCATCTCAAAAGGTGAGGGGCGATGATTCACAGGGGCGAGGATTCAGAAACGCATCTCAACATGGGAGGGGCGATGATTCACAGGGGCGAGGATTCAGAAATGCAACTCAAAATGTGAGGGGCGATGATTCAGAAATGCATCTCAACATGGGAGGGGCGATGATTCACAGGGGCGAGGATTCAGTAATGCATCTCAAAATGGAAGGGGCGATGATTCAAAGGGGCAAGGAATCAGAAATATATCTCAAAATGGAAGGGGCGATGATTCAAAGGCGCGAAGAATCAAAATTATATCTCAAAATGGAAGGGGCGATGATTCAAAGGGGACGAGGGTTCAGAAATATATCTCAAAATGGAAGGGACGATTAATCAAAGGGGCAATGAATCAGAAATATATCTCAAACTGGAAGGAGCGATGATTCAAAGGCGCGAGGAATCAGAATTATATCTCAAAATCGAAGGGGCGTTGATTCAAAGGGGCGAGGAATCAGGAATATATCTCAAAATGGAAGGGGCGAGGGTTCAGAAATATTTCTCAAAATGGAAGGGGCGATGATTCAAAGGAGACGAGGGTTCAGAAATATATCTCAAAATGGAAGGGGCGATGATACAAAGGGGCGAGGAATCAGAAATATATCTCAAAATGGAGGGGGCGATGATTCAAAGGGGCGAGGGTTCAGAATTATATCTCAAAATGGAAGGGGCGATGATTCAAAGGCGCGAGGAATCAGAAATGCATCTGAAAAAGGAAGGTGCGATGATTCAAAGCGGCAAGGATTCAGAAACGCATCTCAACATGGGAGGGGCGATGATTCACAGGGGCGAGGATTCAGAAATGCATCTCAAAATGTGAGGGGCGATGATTCACAGGGGCGAGGATTCAGAAACGCATCTCAACATGGGAGGGGCGATGATTCACAGGGGCGAGGATTCAGAAATGCATCTCAAAATGTGAGGGGCGATGATTCAGAAATGCATCTCAACATGGGAGGGGCGATGATTCACAGGGGCGAGGATTCAGAAATGCATCTCAAAATGGAAGGGGCGATGATTCAAAGGGGACGAGGGTTCAGAAATATATCTCAAAATGGAAGGGGCGATGATTCAAAGGCGCGAAGAATCAAAATTATATCTCAAAATGGAAGGGGCGATGATTCAAAGGGGCGAGGAATCAGAAATATATCTCAAAATGGAAGGGGCGATGATTCAAAGGGGCGAGGGTTCAGAAATATATCTCAAAATGGAAGGGGCGATGATTCAAAGGGGACGAAGCTTCAGAAGTATATCTCAAAATGGAAGAAGCGATGATTCAAAGGGGCGAGGAATCAGAAATATATCTCAAAATGGAAGGGGCGATGATTCAAAGGGGCGAGGGTTCAGAATTATATCTCAAATAGGAAGGGGCGATGACTCAAAGGGGCGAGGGTTCAGAAATATATCTCAAAATGGAAGGGGCGATGATTCAAAGGCGCGAGGAATCAGAAATGCATCTGAAAAAGGAAGATGCGATGATTCAAAGCGGCGAGGATTCAGAAACGCATCTCAACATGGGAGGGGCGATGATTCACAGGGGCGAGGATTCAGAAATGCACCTCAAAATGTGAGGGGCGATGGTTTACAGGGGTGAGGATTCAGAAACGCATCTCAACATGGGAGGGGCGATGATTCACAGTGGAGATGAATCAGAATTTCATCTGAAAACGAGGAGCGATGATTGAAAAGCCTGTCGAAAATTTGACAGCAAATTTTATCCCAAAAACTAAACTTTCTTTGTATGTACCGTTTCTACATTCAAAAAGACTAGTGCCGTGTCTTTAGCGCTGCGGAATCTTTGAGAATTGAGACTTTTTTGTATGAAACTCGACTGGAGATGCCACCCGACAGGCTGATTCCCTTTTGGTATTCTCCTAAGCCAAGCTAAATTGTAAGCGTACCCTTTCATAGAAATTAAGTGAATAATTTTCTTGCTTGAAAATGAAATTTTCATTATAAACGGTTAGCATTCTGTCGGTTTTAATATATCAAGACAGTCATTTTAAAACATTGTTTTTGTTATGCAAACATTTTTATAGAAAATTTTAACCTTCGCTTTCTATTTAAAATTGCGATGAACCCAATTGACTGAAATTGAAACTTGAACAAATTCTTTTTTTCTCTGTTTCAGGATTCTTTCACGTTCCCAGATGTCTATTGATGACCCATAAACAACTGGAGAAAATAAAGAACAATCTCGAAAATCGGATATTGGTTCAAATATAAATTGATTTTCTGTTATAGAACTCATTTTTGCTTGTTAGAGTCTGGGCTTCTATAAGCTTTATTAGCCAAAAAGAAGACCAAACTCCTGCAAACTTGTTTTATTGGCCTTCATTGTTACAACCAATGAATTTTTGAACAATTTGTATCATCAGAAATAAAAAAAAAACAGTTTTTCTTCAAAATTATCAGAGTTTATTTGATTGCTTAAAAATCGAGTTACGCAAGTTTTCAAATTAGATCAACACATATAATCATCCCCAAACTCATTCATCTAGAATGGGCAGACAAATTAAATGTCCATAAATGGCGCATCTGGTTTTCAACTCGAATCTGATGCAAAAGCGAAAAGTATACTAACATACAACGACCAAGAAAAATTCGATTGAGAAGTAGAAATGGATTAAAAGTATTGTGTTTTTAAAACACTGCAACAGATTTAAAATGTTCTACAGAGGAGTACGCTGATTAGCGCCACAACTTTCTTGAGAACATTCGCAATCTCTTTTTTTTGAAGAAGAAGAATTTGAAATTGTTGTCAAAAACATTAAAAATTGAAGGTTTTTGAACTTTTTTTAGGTCAACCAAAATGATTTTCCGAGCTCTCTCAAATCACTACAAAGACCCTGCTCTGGCAAAAATTTCTCCGCCGCAGGCAAAGTTTTGAAAAAATAGGCCAAAAGTAGCGTTCTTAGGCACTTTTTGGAAAATTTTAACCAAAACATCGTGTTTTTATGTAGCGCGGTCCCCCCTAAAATTAGTGCATATTGGCACCGAAGGCGCCTTTAGAAAAAATTTTGAATTCGTCAGCCAAAATTGATATACCAAAATAGTACAAAGGGGCACCCTTTGGGTCGGCAGGGGGTCAAATCCCTGAGGGAGGGCGCCCACCCCGCCCCCATAATATCACCCATGATTCTACAATTATCTGTTTTTTTTGCATCTCAAATACAAACCTGAAAACTTTTTTGCGTAATTGAAAAAATTGTGAGCTTTATAAATATTTTACAATATAGGAAAACTGTTTGTAAAATCAAAACAAAAAGTATTACAAAAATTTAGAGAAAAACTTTGCTCTAGGTTGTTGTGCAGAATGATATAGTAGTGCTGTGGAAAATAGGTGAAGAAATTAACTATATAATAGTGCTGAATGATATTTTTTCTCAAATAAACAGGTTTTCTACGCTAACTTTTATGAAGTTTATTAAGCAAGTGGAAACGTAATTGCCCTAAACTCAATTCTTAAACGAATTGTTATTTGCTATTTTTTGTAAATCTATGAGGTTTAGAAGGTTGCTGATTCAGTCATTTAACTGGGATAATTAGTTCGAACAAAGCTGCAATTTACCATTGATAAAAATAAATGCGCTGTCAGAAGAAAAACTAGACTGCTCGAATATCAAAGCCCGATATTTTCAGACTACCACCAAATTGGTATCAAATAGTTGTGGGTGAAGAAATTCATAAAATTAGGACAATAAAAAACATTGAGGGTGAAAATTGAGAACGAAACAAAAATGACCAATTACCTTGCATCAATTCAATTTGGAACAGTTTCGTAGTGCGGGATAATCTACCACGCATAAATAATTCGAATTGCATTTTCAGAATCATAAAACAGAATCTTGACAGCGCGAATAACCTAATCCAGAGCATGCCCAAGTTGGCTATTTTAAAGCGTCTAAATCTTTACAAAATTGCAGGTGAACTATCGTGAACTATCCTTTTTAAAATGAAATCCGGTAGCGGATTTCTTCAATGGAGTGTAAAAATTTATTCGAAAAAACGGTTAATTTGAAAGCCAAAATTTATACAAATGAAAAAGCACTCGAAGCATAAATTTTCCGCATTTCGTTGAAAATCAGCACAATTGGTTTTTTTTGTGCTTGACATTAGTTGAGAAGTTTAAGTATTGTTTTTTTTTTAATTTCTTCAGAATTGATAGCAGCCAAATAAGTAACTAGTAACAATACCTTGATACACTTATTTTTTTCCTGATTTTGGTTTTTCGAGTTTGCTTCGTTGTTGATCTATGTTATTTGAAACTCTTTAGGGATGAGTCGACAGCAATTTTGTTTTATTTTTGTTTTCCTGGCCTTAGTTTTTTTTGTTTACTTTGATGATGAACTACAGTGCTGATCTGTTGAAAACTGTGATGAAAACAAAAGCTGCTTGAAATTTCATCAAAATTATTATGGTAAAATTTTTTCTCCGAAATTCTCAATCAAAATTCTACCCCAAAAATGGGTCATTTTGCCTTTTTCAATTAATCAAGAAATACGCTGAAACTACTTTGTTAATTGATAAGAATTATATAGTGCAACACAGCGCAACAAAGTTCTACAAAATTTAAACCTCCAAAAACCTGCATGAGAGAAAAAAACTTTGCTGGATTTTCAAGAAGTCTGATTTTTACTATATAAAACTCAAACTATTTGCTTAAAAACAAATTGTTAACAATTTACTCAAGTTTTTGGACATTTAACCCCCGTAGAACTATGTTGGGCCGTGTAAGAGGCTTCTTTGTGCATATATTTTTTTATCAATAAACACAGTAGTTTCAGCGTAATTCTTGATTAATTGAATAAACCAAAATGACCCATTTTTGAGGTAAAATTTTGTTTGAGAATTTCGGAGAAAAAATTGCACCATATTATTTCTGATGAAATTCTTAGCAAACTTTGTTGCCTTGGCTCTTCTAATCTTAACCCAAGTTGAGAAAAACGTATACAACATTGAACACTACTTGAGGGTGAGACGTTAAAAATATCGCCTTGAGATGATTAACGGTTTGGGACAAGTGGCTTGGGACAATTAACGCTTCCGTGGTTTCTAGTTCTGACTTTCAAAGAAAAGCGGAACTTTCATGATTGATGGTTGTGTTTTTTGGTCAGTAAAAATTGGCGTGCAATATATCCGTTTTTACAAAATGGTTTCTTACTCCATTAAGGGTTTTGGAGAATATTTTGAAGGTTTTGGAGATTATATGATTCACAAAATACACAGGTTGGCCTCGTAATTCTGAAAACATTGATGCCGACATTATGGTTTTATTGTTCTTTGAGTCAGAGGCTCACTTTGAGGCCAGAAAAAAGGCAAAATTATTCTCAATTTCTCAAAATATGTATTGAAGAATTTTTATGCTGGGTTTTGACTGTTCATCTTTCAAATAAGTTTTTTGGGCAAAAGGATCTTTCAAAATATCAATGTCAAAACGTTGATTATATTTCGTTCGATTGAAAACGGCTGAGATATCACTCCAACTTGAATTGAAGAATTGCAATGAAAAAAATGTTGTTAGTTACAAAGCGTGTGTTTTTAGGAATTGTGTTTGTGTGTGTGGTGTGTGGGGGGAGGTGATTAAAAAATGAAAAAAAAAATTGAAATCCAAGTTGCATTCAAAACAATTATGGCCATTATTTTAAATCTAAATCAGCAATTGAAGCGCTCAGGGCATCGCTTTGACACGATCAGTCTTGTGAAAAAATAACGGCGTCTGAAAGTGTTTATCTGAGATTATTGGAACCTGATCTAAACTACATTTTATGATTGGATAAATTAGATATTTTACCAATGTAAAGTATTTAATATTAACCAATCATGATCCATCTAATTAACAAGCCACTTATTTGTAAGTGCTGAAATTACTTGTAATTTCAGCACCAGAGAGATTTGAATTTAACTTAGAAATTAGTTGACTCTCCAAGAAGACTTCAGCAACCGCAATAAACCAGTATACCCTAGATCTATTGAGCCTAGCAGAGACTAGTTAAACAACCTGAGACTAGATAGTATAAGAGTAAGATTAGGATTGGTATTAGACTAAGAAGTTGCACGAATCTATCCGGCCGAAAATAAGATAGCGTGACGACCAGACGGTGTACCCTATCCGAAATTACTCTATGAGTTATACACCTCGGTCATAACTCATCTGGTGCGACCATAAGTCTCGAACAAGACCTTAATAGCTTAGATTTAACCAAAAATAGATTAGAATTTAGACAAAACATTTTTAAAATGTTACACGACGATAATTTAATCGAAATGTCTCTACGACTCAATAGATCAAAGCCAATATTCCGAACGATAAGAGAACTACCCCGAATTGCAAGAAGACCTCGAACCAGAGACGACATACGACAAAGTAGAAACTTACCATATAGTTATATGATAGTTCGGCAAAAGCCAACACAAACTTTTGTATTTAGAATACTACTAGCAATGAATTTAGATTTTCATTTGCAAACATAAAATCTTGAAGTCAATCTTCAAAATCATTTCAGGCGCTAAACCAAATTATTAATATACAATAACGATTGATAAGGAGATCTCAGATCGTTTTCCTAAATTCTGCAGTAATATACAAAACATGTTTGAAAAATATTTATTGAAAAATCAAAATAAAAATTAGTAGCATGACAATAAATGGTTAGTAATTATAAATCATCCTGTTGTTCCAGCTTCATCACCTAAACATAACAGCATTCATAAGCTCACTAATATCATAAAAACAATAAATCTTTTCTTTACACAAATTTAAATCATTTTAAACTTGAATTCACTTAAATTTAAAATCAGATCATCAAGGCTCATCCTTGGATCTTAAATCATTTTCTATTTAATTAAATTTAAAACTTGATCATCAAGGCCTCTCCTTGGATCAAAAAGAACAATTTTGTTCTCCCCCACCCACTTAACTAGTGTATAACGACCTCAAACGTCGATTCACTACCCAACCCTTTCTAAAAACCCAGGACTAACAGAAATTTTTGAACAAAACTAATCATTCAACTTAGGATAAACAGTGAAGAACTTCGGTTTTTCATCCTTCACTTGATCCCCCCTCTTACCAGACCCAGGATAAATCTTAGACTTAGTAAGTTTAAAATAGTACCTAACGAACTACTCGCGTTCTAATTATACCTGAACCTTGTGGATCGATTTACTATTCTCCAACCCTGAACACAATCACTACCCTTAAGTAAGATTAAGTAAGTTAACACCTTAGCTTATACTAGCCACGAGAAAGTATAAAATCATTCTTCGGAATCGACATACTTTTCTCCCCAACCCTGAACAAATAGACCCAGGTTAGGCTAACCAAAAAATCGTAAGGACTAACAGTCTAAGTAATAGAAATCA